AATGAAATGCTGGGAATGGCAATAAAATGATCAATTTCCTCATTCTAACTGCAGTTTCGTTATTAGGATGGCTAGTAGTGTTGATGGTAAAATTACAAGGCAAAAGTTTTTTCGAGTCCAAAATCGAGTGGAACGCTCAGTTACGGAGACCAACCTCTTAATTTGTCAAGTACCATCAGTAAAATTTGAGAAAATCGCAGAGGTTTACGTTCTCAAGTGTGAACACTTCGTTGTTAGATATGACAAACCCTGACTAGCCGTACCCAGATCACCACAGATGGAATAAACCGCAGTATGAGTTTTAGTGAGGTGGGTAAATGGAACAGTAATAATTCAGCGTACCGTTAATGACCTAATAAACACCCGGATCTTCTATTTAGTTTTGAGGGTTCAAGTGTGGGCATTTAAAAGATCGAGAGAGGCGTTTATTCTCACAGCTGTAACAAGCTCAACCAAGCTAAAAAAAACTTTTTGGCCAATATCCACTATACATCAATCGAGATCTACATCGCTCTTTCAAATCCCAGCATCGATATGTCAAAATCCTCGTTCAGGGTTATTGTGTTGCCATCGTTAGTCTATCCTTACTAATTCGCTTTAAGGGTGTAAAAAGTTTACTGATACGAAGACGAAGTTGGTTTACTTCGACAAGAGGGCAAAATACTAGAAACTTATCGAAAGAGGAAGCAAGAAATGTTTTCGATTCGCTCAACCTCAGCTGGAAATAACCACTACTGTTTTACTCCACAGCAAGAGAGATACACCAAAAAAGTTCAAAGAGTTGGTAACAGTGCTGATAATCGCCAATGAAAGCAAATCAACGACAATCTTTGTTGGCAACGGCACAATATCGCCTGCAATTCTATTCAGGCATTGGACGATCAATAGAATACTTGTTATGTGACAAGGCGGCCATGCGGGTAGATAAAAATTTACAAAAAATTCACCAGCATGGCCTTCTTGACGTCAACCGAAAAAGATAAATAATTCGCTGCTTAGTACAATTTACGCTTTTCCTAGAAAATGTATTTATTTTGGAATATATTAGCTATTCCAAGAAACTGAAAGGAAAAAAACAGGCTAGTGAGTATTCTATAAATTCATTTTCAAGAGGTAAAATTCTTAAAAGTTTTGCTGTCATTTTTAGTTTAATTCTAGTAAGTACCTGCACAGATACAACGTTCCGGAGAGCTAAAATACTTGAGCCATTAAAGCTCCTGAACGTTAACATTACTAAGACACTGCAATGCAGGGGGTATTTTACAATGGCTACGTTGTCCTTTCAAGCCACTGAATCAGTTAATTATCTGTATCTGAATATTTAATGTTTTCTCGGAACTATCATTTTCCGTCATAAATGAAAAGCTTGGGTATGTTCTTTTTGTGAATGAGGATTAAAGTTTCACAAATTTCGGAAAGACATAACATTTCATTGCGGCCAGGTCATGACTAATAATTCACTTTAACAATTTTCTTCGGGGAAGAAAAGTCACTTGTAATGCACGTAATCATGGCCCTCGTTGCCTGTTTCTACGACTTTTCCTGCTGGAGAAATTCAACTCGCCAGCCCGCTTATTACTCAAAATACCTAGCTAAATAAATAGATGCTTAATTGTATTTTCCTTCACTACATTTGTGTTCGTTTATGAACAAGTCATTTCTTTGGGAACTCTTTCATATTTTCCGCTTTCGTTATTACGTGGTGCTAATCATGTGATCATCATTACTGATTCTCGCAACCCACTAAGATATTAAAAACTGGTTTTGGGGGTTTTAAAATCCATAGTCAGATTGAAACATCATTTGAAACATAGTTAAAGACACTGTTGGTTTTACTTTAAGGGTCTTCTAAGTGAACTGATACCAAACGAATATATTCTTGCTGATGAAACGAGGTGCACTCTCTTTCCACAGTCTCTTCGCAATTAGACCGAAACCCACAAAATTATACAAACGGTGGAAGAGATGAAAATTATAAGTGGAGGATAAGAACTAATAACTTACCTTACAATTTGTGAAAGTCCTTACAGAGAAGTGTGCTTGGCAAGGAAAGTAAATTACGGTTGCGTGGATTTGTTGGCAAAATGATATAGTGATCGACACGCAATTAACATATGAAGTGCTTGACGTGATTGATGTTTTGTCTTTTGAAATATATTTTAGGCAAGCGATTCCAAGAAAAAAAAAACTAACAAAGAAACAGGTTTCACTTCCCAGGCTATAAATGAAAATTTGAGGGGTGAGTTGTTGTCTTCTTCAATACGAAAATACCTTGATATAATTCATATCCCAAAACAACCTCTTAATATTCTTTCCTTTTCTTTTTTTTTGCTTGCTTGTTTGCTTTTCCTTAACAGCACTGAAAACGGATGACGTCAGTAATAGGAAGCTTATGATAAGCAAACACATTTTTGAGCAACGCCCATCAACCGGAAGTGGTCTTTTATCATTTCTAGACGGTTGTTAAGACCAAATTTTCTGTAAGAGTAAATAGACTGAGCGTTTGCATTTGGTACCGCTCATACAATGCAGATTTGACTTCCGGTTGACGTGCGTCCTTCAACGTCTCCAAAAAAGCTAAAAACTGCTGAGTGTGCATGACAAGCGGTTACTTGAATATCTAAGCAATAGAAAACGTTTTCCGTGTTTGCATAGCCTGATATAAACACGAGAGGGGTTGGGAGAATTCGAGACAGTTATGCAAACCCGAGACGAAGTCGAGGGTTTGCATAACTGTCGAGAAAACTGTTTTGCAATTGTAGGTACTATCCAGTTCAGTATGTGGTCCTTGGTCCGCGTCTAAAATCGTTAACTTGAATATCTTACCCGAATGTTCACGTAACGAGCTGAAATACACCCTGAAGATAGCTTTTATGTTCCTCTCGATAATCCTGAAGTTTCAAGTTCCGGACGTAAATATTTTGCTTGGAATTCAAAAAAAAGGCAACCGTTTTCGATACTCCTTGGTCCGCGTCTCAGGTAAGCAGCACGAAAAAAAAGGTAAAAATGCTAATGCTATAGTTTCCGCACGAAAACGTGATTTTCACAATATTCCATGCATTTTTTTCTTTTCTTGATACAATTAAGCTAAAGTTTTTTTCGGAAGATGTTTGAACATAAAACAATCTGCTCTTCTTTCAAAGACTTCACATAACAGTCTCCTCGAGTCTCCCACACGAGCGTCGACGAGCGGTTTTCAGCGCAGTCGAAAATAATTTAGCCTGACCAAAAACTCTGTATGTATTCGAGGTAATAAAAAAAGAGAACTTGTAGACATGTATAGGGACAATTTTCAAAACATTCTTCGAAAACAAAGGCCGTCAAGTTTTATTCAACCAAGGTCATAGGTCGCGGACCAAGGACCGCTAAGCGAAATTTGGTGGTATTTTTCAAGAGTCGATAAAACAAAAAATTCAGAGTCTACAGCAATATGTTCCAACAGCAGAAATAAGTTGATCTGAAAACCTGTTCTGCAAAAAGGCACGTCTTCCCGTTGCGTTTTATTTATTCGCAAGCTAAGTGAACATGACCATGTAATTTACGCTGCCGCAAAAATCCAAACTTCAAAAAAGACAAATTAACCTACCTGTCAACAAACTTTAATTTCGCGTCCTCACCCACAGCAAGAAAGCCGAAACTTCGTCATATGAAAGAATGCTAATCAGTAAATCACGGTATCTTTCATTATTCAACGTATTTTTTTCCCGACGAAATATTTTATCATTTTCGGAAATGTCGCGGACCAAGGGCATCGCACACTTGCGCGGACCAAGGACCACATACTGTACCTACAATTGCAAAACTCAACAAAATGCCGGGGGGGGGGGTACTCCCATATATAGGCCATATAGGTACGTGCCGCAGAATAGGGTAAGGTTTTTGAGGTTCTCGGTCCTTAAATAGGGTATCTTTTTTTACCCTTTTGTTTCTTTTTCCCTGGTGTGGTCCTTAGGTAGGGTAGCTTAATTGTATTATCTAATACTGGAGTGTGAAAACGCCCGCCTAAACGAACGGTTTTTTTAAAACTTGATGTATCCGTTTAAGTATTCTAGTATTTTATGCTTGATGCTATACATCCAATGTTACAGAGAAGAAATAAAGTTTTCCTCAGTTTCATGCTATGAATAATTTTGTTTTTTCCTTGAATAGGGTGTCATTTTTCGGCTTTGGGCCTTAAAAAGGGTATCAGTTTTCGCTTTCTTAGTCCTTAAATAGCGTTAGGGTTCACAAACCTTCGCGGCGCACCCCTATCCAAAATTCGCGGGAGTACCCCCCCGGGACAAAATGCCACTTTAACCGGCCAGGAAAGACAAGGATACGTTCAGTTAAAGGTATCTTAGCTTTGTTTTGTTATATTTTGACTTTTGGACTATTTTAGTTCATGGGAGTTTCGACGACTCACCGTATTTTGTCCATGTGAATATTAATATATTCATTCGACACATAGTACGTCTAGGCCGCCTCTGGCGTAATCAGTTCTTGTTTTGCAAAAAGATGCTTTGAAAGATACGGATTTTTCTCGCTTAAAATGTCAGCTTAAGCAAAGAAAAATTGACTCACCGTCTTTGTAACGATTTTCCATGTTTCAGCCGACAAAGCAATGGGTAAATAAAGTCAACTTGTCGAGTGTTGAACTCGAAAACTTTTCCAATTCGTGCTTGGGTGATTAGCGCGCGAAAAGCCAAACAACTTGACGCCACAACCATGTTTACATACTCTAATGCAAACACTCCTCTCGGCCAATCAGAGCGCGCCTACTATTTTAGTTAATTTTACTAAAACAAGTTTCTCCCTTTGATCAAGAAAAAGTGTTGTTACCTTCGCAAAGAAAATAAGGGATAATAGAAAATCATCGCGTGAGCACTTTGGTTCCAACAAAAGTTTGTTTTAACCGATACGAAATAATATATTAATAGGCCGGAAGAAGTTTCTTAATTAATGGAAATCATTGACGCTGCATGGAAAGCCTTAACAATGCGGGGGTATAAAAATTCTTCGAGGAGTCTAAGCATGCAGAGCATAATTCATTTCCGCACCGGTCATCCAAAGAGAAAAGAAAAATCACACTGCTTGATCCATGCGCTTCGTTTGTAACAGATATAGATTCGGCAAGGTGTAATGAAAAGCGCAGAGCGTTATGATTCAGCAAAAACAGGAGAAGTCCAAAGCAGAATATTTGTTCATTCATTATTAATACAGTTAATACATGATGGGATGACCTTACAAAACGAATCCCATTTAAGCTTTAAGTCTCTGCAAAGTTTGTCATTGATTCACTGCATGAGATTCTAATTACACGTATACCAATTTTTGATTTGCTCAAGAAAGACTACGACATAGTTTTTCGATGTGTATATTTCACCATGCTTTACATAAAATGCTACCCTGATCAAGGGGAGATTGTTGAACAAAATTGCTTCTGTCAACTCTTAGTTGCAGACCGAGGCAGCTGATAAACGTTTTGAAATAGTCTGTAATGTCTCTCCCCTCGCCTCCACGAGTTAGACTAAGACGGTGGAAACGGCTGATGTTTTAGACTAGAAGGATAAAACTTTTCAAATTTGGTATTTAGTCAGGCTAAAAAATGGTCTTATTAGTAAAATACCAGGTGAGCTTTCGGACGAAAAGAGATCTTCACATGTGCACAGATCGCCGTTGCTGTGGTTACATAATAAATCTACTCGCTTTTCACAGCAAAAACTATTAGAAAGAGTTTGGCACTCAATCGGGCAATGGTGTTATATAGAACGTTACATGATCGCTTGGAGATAGGAAATGTCTCTTCGAATGTTATAAAATATTTCACGAGTTTGCACAGCCAACGAATGAAATACACTGTAGAATGAAAAGAGCTAAATCGACACCAAAGGCCAAATCGGCCCCAATGTCTCGAGGGCCGATTTGGAACTCCGGGGCCGTTTTTAGCCTCCCACACAAACGTTCTTCGGGGTTCGTCACGCGCTCCTGCCACCTAGTGGGGCAGGAACACGTGACGAACCCCACTTCTTAGTTACACGGTTTATTGAGGAATTGTCGTACGTGTTCCCGTTCACTTTTTTTCACTGCCGCTCATTTTCACCTTGCATTGGTGGCCGCTAGTATTTCTCATTTTGTCACCGCCGCTACAAAATTTTCATGTCGTTCTTCCAACAAAAAAATGTCTCCTTTGTTTTTATCTCTCGCTCTAAATCCCTGTCGCCCTTTTTCTCGTTGAGCTTCGCTGGCCTGCCTCCCACTTTTTTCTGTCTTTCACTTGCTCTATATTCCAAATTTGTGGACATGAAAATTTGTCTAAGCTTAATACTTTAGACAACAGAAACAATTTCAACAATTTACAGATACAGAAACAATTTCCGCTTTCCGTTTTCGTCTTTATTGACTCTTTTGTTGTCTCTGCTTTACAAGATGCCGGTGGCTATGCGATTTCCCGCCAAAATAACCTGTTGATTGAGTTATTTTACATTGGTATGCCTCTGGTGCGGACGGACGGTCTCTCGCGGGCGAGAGCTAATAAATATCGAAACTCTTTCTTCAGTTTAATCCATTGGCAATCACAAAACTATTTATCTTTTCTCTCTTCCCGCCCCCTCCCCGCTCCCTTTGACTCGCCCCATTTCCTGCTCTCTTCGGGAAGTTTCAACATGGCGCTTTCGCGAGCAAATTGCGAGCTCAAAGAAAACGCCTGCACTGCAGGCTAACGTAGACCTAAATCCGTAACGACAGTCAAAGACTGTAAGGTAACTCATGGTTTCGACTGTATTTTATTTATTATAAACCAGCCCACAGTAGCGCCACTCTCGAGTCACTGAAATCAACACACTCGACCAAATTACTGGAAAAGTTATTGACGTGAGCCGCACACACGTTCCATTGAAGGCTTTGATAGGGGCGAAGTTTGAATTCAGATGTGAAAGCTTTAAAACAGTAAATTCAATGTAATTCATTTTGTCAACAAGTTGACGATTGGATGCTCTTAAAAATAACAGAGAAAATTATCCCAAAAAATGTTTTTAAAGAAAGAAAAAGAATCCCGGGTTAAGCACTAATCGGTCTTTGAGCAACTGCGCCCTGTAACTCACCCGACGCACTCTG